CTCTCGCGCTCTCTCTCGCGCTCTCTCTCTCTCTCTCTCTCTCTCTCTCTCTCTCTCTCTCTCTCTCTCTCTCTGCCCTCCGCCAAAGGGATGTGAAACGAGCTCGAGGATCGAGTCCGTCGACACGACGGAAAAACATTCCTCCGCGCCGACACGAAAATCACATTCGGCCGTGCCCCGTGACGTCGGCCGCGAATTTATGACGCGACGAATCTTTGGCAAGCACGCGACGACCTTACCTCGCGCAAAAAATATTGACAGCCCTGTGTCGCGCTCGCGACGCTGGAAATTCATGCGGGGCGGTGTTCTACACGCGGCGTTCGTCGCTGACGGCCGCGTCGAATTTCGAGGCGTTCGCACTGATCTGACGAAAAAAATTTGTGGAACAGAAGTTAACACGAGCACTTCGAGGAGAACGAGGTGCAATGATAAAAATTTCGTGGAAATTTGTTGTTTGATTGGAGGCTCGGGTCGCGTCGACTATTTTTAAATGGCGATAGGTATTCTCTTGATTTGTTGTTTATGCTATTTTTATTTGTTCGTTTTATTTATTTGTTTCCCCTGAAAATATTCAGGATATCTTAAAATGAAGTAAATAGTTTTTATTGAAATTGGAGTTTAAATAGCAAATTGTAGCTGCTTTTTATATGTGACGAATATACTCGTCGTGACAGGAATATTGGCATTTCTTTGTGACGACTATACTCGTCGTAACGCGAAATATTGGCATTTCTTTGTGACGAGTATATTCGTCGTAACGCGAAATATTGGCATTTCTTTAAGACGAGAATACTCGTCGTGACAGGAAATATTGGCTTTTCTTCGTGACGAATACATTCGTCATAACGCAAAATATTGGCATTCCATCGTGACGAGTATACTCGGCATAACGCGAAATATTGGTGTTTCTTCGTGACGAGTATACTTGTCACGACGGGAACAATGGCATTTCTTCGTGTCGAGTATACTCGTCATAACACGAAATATTAGGATTTCTTTGTGACGAGTATACTCGTCATAACGCGAAATATTGTTATTTCTTCGTGACGAGTATACTCGTCGTAACGCGAAAGATTGGCGTTTCTTCGTGACGAGTATACTCGTCATAACGTAAAATATTGTCATTTCCACATGACGAGTATACTCGTCAAAGACAGCTAACTGGTTAAGCGCTCCATCAGATCACTGTAAGTACTAAAAAACTAATTAAAAAATAGATACGGTTATGGAATCGAATTTACATAAATGATCATAAATAATTTGAAATTTCTCGTACCATTCATTTTTAGAATAAATAGAATTTAGAGCTAAATAAATTGTTCCTTGATTAACGCACCCAACCACCAAATTTATGGAAAAATGACACCGTTGTTGTTATTATTATTGTATTAATAAACCACGTACGGAGAATTAATTTGAAGTCGCGAACTCCATTCTGTTCAGCTGTCTTTTAAATTGATCCGAAAAAGAAATTAGACGATCATCTCGTCGCCGGCTGAAAGAGAGCCGGTGCACGAAGTGGAGGGGGGAGGGGGAGGAGCAGGAGGATGAGCGGGCCGTTGCCTATAAATTTCAATTAAACGGCAACGTCGCCGAGGCCCGTCGCTAAAATTACTTAAAAAGTAGTTTACGCTAAACAAGTTAATTGGCAGCTCGCAGTAACGAGGCCGAGAGGGCCGCGACAATTTTTCATCGGCCCGGTTGAGAAGTCCGGTTGGGATGCCCTCCGGCCGTGGCCGGCGCAGGAAATTTAAAAACGCTCGTCCCGGCCGATTATTAGAATAAATTAGAAAATTTCCTGTCCTCATGTTTTATTAATAAACAACCGCCGAATAGCCGCGAGCGAACTCTGCAACACCGCCCCGTACCCCCCACCCCCACCCCCATCCCGTCCGCATGTATATTTATAAACAAGGGTGTATCCGGCGTCGTTCGTTCCGGGTAACGATAGCAATAAGAAGAACGATCGCGGAAAAAGGAGGAGTCGAACGCTGTCGTGGCGGAGCGCCGGAGCGGCCGGGGCGGCGGGGAGGGGGAAGCGGCTGCAGAGTGGGAGAGCGCGCCGCCCGGCTGAATTTCAAATTCCCGTTTAATGGTTCTTGAGCGAAATTTCATTCTTCCTTTCATTTTGTCCCGCGCACTTTCAGGCGAACTGGTACAGAGCGTCCCAATACTGCCGTTACCACGGTATGCATCTGGCGAGCATCGCCTCCCAGGAGGAGAACGACAGGCTCGAGAAACATATTAAGGACTTCGGGCTCGGGCACGAACACTTCTGGACCTCTGGCACCGACCAGGCCGAGGAAGGCACTTTCTTTTGGATGGCGAACGGCAGGCCGATCACTTTTGAGAACTGGAACGTCGGCGAGCCGAACAACTTCAGGTAACGATTCGTTTCAACGATTCGCAGAGTGTCAGAATGAACGAGTCGTAAGATTCGTCTTGTAATATTAATGATTTGTAGAATCGATTGTTACGTTTTGACTCGGACAATTTTTAGAGGTTTTTAATGAGGATCGGACTTTTGATAGACTGCGGACTTTTGTGCGAAGGAAGAATTTATTCGCGTCGATTGCGCGCGATATCTTCGATACGTCCATTTTAGGTTTGAATGTCTTAGGACGTAAAATGGACGTCGGGAGGACGTAGAGTTCGGGAGATGTCTTTGAGACGTCTTTGAGACGTCTTGAAACTCACGTTTTTGAAACGTCTTTGAGATGTCTTTGAGACGTCTTGAAACAGACGTTTTTGAAACGTCTTTGAGATGTCTTTGAGACGTCTTGAAACAGACGTCTGAAATAAAACGTCTTTGAGACGCCTTTGAGACGATTTTGAGACATCTTTGAGACGATTTTGAAACATCTTTGAGACGCCTTTGAAACATCTTTGAAACGCCTGAAATAAGACATCTTTGAGACGATTTTGAGACACCTTGAGACAATTTTGAGACGTTTTTAAGACGCCTTTTAGACGTATTTTTGACGTCTTTGAGACGTTTTGAAACAGACTTTTTGAGACGTCTAAAATAAGACGTCTTTGAGACGTCTGAAATAAGACGTCTTTGAGACGCCTTTTAGACATCTTTGGAACGTCTGAAATACGACGCCTTTGAGACGATTTTGAGACGTTCTTGAGACGCCTTTGAGACGTCTGAAATAAGATGTCTTTCAGACGCCTTTGAGACGTCTTTGAAACGTCTTTGAAACGTCTGAAATAAGACATCTTTGAAACGTCTGAAATAAGGCATCTTTGAAACGATTTTGAGACGCTTTTGAGACGCCTTTTAGACGTATTTTTGACGTCTTTGAGACGTTTTGAAACAGACTTTTTGAGACGTTTTTAAGACGTCTAAAATAAGACGTCTTTGAGACACCTTTTAGACGTCTTTGAGACGTCTGAAATAAGACGTCTTTGAGACGCCTTTTAGACCTCTTTGGAATGTCTGAAATAAGACACTTTTGAGACGATTTTGAGACGTTCTTGAGACGCCTTTGAGACGTCTGAAATAAGATATCTTTCAGACGCCTTTGAGACGTCTTTGAAACGTCTGAAATAAGGCATCTTTGAAACGATTTTGAGACGTCTTTGAGACGCCTTTGAGATGTCTTTGAGATGCCTTTGAGAGGCCTTTTTGACGTGCTTGAAACGTCTGAAATAAGACGGCTTTGAGACGCTTTTGAGTCGCCTTCTAGATGTCTTTGAGACGCCTTTTAGATATCTTTGAAACGCCTTTCAGACGTCTTTGAGACATCTTGAAACAGACGTCTAAAATACGACGACTTGAGGACATATAGAACCAGACGTATTAAATACGTCACGAAGCAAACGTGGGTCTGACGTCTGAAATAAAACGTCGCAAAATTCGTCCGTTCCACAACGTCTTTAAGGCACCTCTTTCGAGACGTCTATAAGATATCTATAAACGTCTTTAAAACGTCTTTAAGACGCCCAGTTTTGTAACGTTGGACATTCGTGGGACGTTCGTAGGACGTTCGTAGGACATTCGTAGGACGTCCGTAGGACGTTCGTAGTTTGTTCGTAGAAAGTTCATAGGATGTTTGTAGGACGTTCGTAGGATGTTCGTAGAATGTTCGTAAGCCACGCGTAACATATTAACGACGACTCAATTAAAATATGCAACCTATTAAAATACGCAAATAGAACCTCCAAGTAACTAAAACGTTAACGACGGGATATTAACGAGCGACTTTTGCCCGAGTCATTCCGACGAAGTAATCCGGGGCTCCGCGACGAAGAATGGGGATCGGTGCGGATCGCGACTTTGAAAACGGCGTAATTCACACTCGATGTTTTCAGATACGAGAACGGCGAGGAGGAGCACTGTCTCGAGCTGTGGAACAGGGACGGCAAAGGGCTGAAGTGGAACGACAGCCCGTGCAGCTTCGAAACGTTCTTCGTCTGCGAGGTGCAGTGATCGGGCGGAACGTATTCGAAAGTCGTCGGGGCCGCGCGATCCGATCCATGATCCCCGCGCGATCCATACATCAACGTTTACCCACGAGTCATCCACGGGTCTTGGCCGGAAGCCGGGGCTCGACGCGACGCGCTTCGCCATCGATTTCCTTTCGCTTCTGTGGACCCCGGAACAGACCGGATGAAAAGTGACTTTCAATGTGTGTGTCTCTCTCTCTCTTTGTGTGCGTGCGTGGTGTACGCGCGCACGCCTGTGTGTGCGTGGCAGTGCCGCGTTTCACGGCCAGGCCGGCTCACGGTTACGTCGGGAGAGTGCGTTCTTTCTCCCTTTTCGCGGGATCGACGATGGATCACCGCCGCCTCGGGAAGGATCGCGACAGGACAATGCGATCAGGCCGCGATCGACGCGATCGATCAATTTAGAAACGTTTACGGGATTCGAGCCTGTGATTCGACTTATCGAGCCGCCTGGCCCTCGATACGGATTATATTATCTCTCGACGTTCATTCGGGGGAATGCAACGCGGCGAACGCAGTTCTCTCGTTGCGATCGTACGACGCTCGTTCTCGATTTTTTCTTTTTTCTTTTTTTCTACGATTTCTTTATCTAGACTACCGATTCGGAACGAATCCGTCCGAGCATCCGAAAGGATTCTCGGATGCGCGCGCGATCGATTCGCGACGATTCGCCTAGTTTCCGGCTGTTAATCTGAACAACTCGATTGTCCGAACCAAATAAGAAAACGGAGACGTTCGGATAATGGAGACGTTGCCTTGACGAATCCTAAGGCGAAATTATTGTTAATTTGCAACGCGGTAAATCGGCGCGGATTTGGACTGTTCGCGCGAAAAACACATATACAGTAATGTCTCTCTAATTGACGCTCGGATTGTGCACAAAAATGGACAATTTGGGAAGGGGAGATACGATTAATTCGAGTCTCGCGGCCCGTTTTTATAATTGTTGACAATCGGTAAGTATAAAAACGAGCCGTCCATTACTTTCGTCAATGTTTCAAATTTTCGAAAAATTTGTCGATGCTCGAACAGCTATAGCTTCGTGCAAAAATATCGTACAACAATGGAACTCGGCTCATTTTAAAGCCCGAAGTGTCTACTTTCGGGCGCCGTCCGTCGTTTCCTTCGACAATTCGCGACACATGGATGGGGAACCTCGTTCCAGACTTTGCGCAAAATTTCTAACCTCCGAAACATCGACGATATTCAAAATTCTGTAACTTCGTGAACAAAAAATCGTGGAACAACGAAACTAAATTCATTTTAAAGCCTGAAATCTCTACTTTTTTACTGTACAATTCATTTTCGTCGGAAAAATTGTTCGGAGACACGACACGCGGGAAGTTGTAACAATTTATATCGGACGAAGTTTAGGGAAATTTAGGGAATCTTGGAATTAGAAACGGTGTACAGTAATGTCTCCCTTACTGACGCTCGGATTGTGCACAAAAATGGACAATTTGAGAGGAGAAGATACGATTATTCGAGTCTCGCGGCTCGTTTTTATAATTGTTGACAATCGGTAACCATAAAAACAAGCCGTCCATTACTTTCGTCGATGTTTCAAATTTTCGAAAAATTTGTCGATGCTCGAACAGCTATAGCTTCGTGCAAAAATATCGTACAACAATGGAACTCGGCTCATTTTAAAGCCCGAAGTGTCTACTTTCGGGCGCCGTCCGTCGTTTCCTTCGACAATTCGCGACACATGGATGGGGAACCTCGTTCCAGACTTTGCGCAAAATTTCTAACCTCCGAAACATCGACGATATTCAAAATTCTGTAACTTCGTGAACAAAAAATCGTGGAACAACGAAACTAAATTCATTTTAAAGCCTGAAATCTCTACTTTTTTACTGTACAATTCATTTTCGTCGGAAAAATTGTTCGGAGACACGACACGCGGGAAGTTGTAACAATTTATATCGGACGAAGTTTAGGGAAATTTAGGGAATCTTGGAATTAGAAACGGTGTACAGTAATGTCTCCCTTACTGACGCTCGGATTGTGCACAAAAATGGACAATTTGAGAGGAGAAGATACGATTATTCGAGTCTCGCGGCTCGTTTTTATAATTGTTGACAATCGGTAACCATAAAAACAAGCCGTCCATTACTTTCGTCGATGTTTCAAATTTTCGAAAAATTTGTCGATGCTCGAACAGCTATAGCTTCGTGCAAAAATATCGTACAACAATGGAACTCGGCTCATTTTAAAGCCCGAAGTGTCTACTTTCGGGCGCCGTCCGTCGATTCCTTCGACAATTCGCGACACATGGATGGGGAACCTCGTTCCAGACTTTGCGCAAAATTTCTAGCCTCCGAAACATCGACGATATTCAAAATACTGTAACTTCGTGAACAAAAAATCGTGAAACAACGTAACTGAACTCATTTTAAAGCCTGAAATCTCTACTTTTTTACTGTACAATTCAATTTCGTCGGAAAAATTGTTCGGAGACACGGTACGCGGGAAGTTGTAACAATTTATATCGGACGAAGTTTAGGGAAATTTAGGGAATCTTGGAATTAGAAACGGTGTACAGTCTGTCTCTTATACACATCTCCTTCCCAAATTGTCCATTTTAGTGGACAATCCGAGCGTCAGTAAGGGAGACATTACTGCTGTCTCTTATACACATCTCCTTCCCAAATTGTCCATTTTAGTGGACAATCCGAGCGTCAGTAAGGGAGACATTACTGCTGTCTCTTATACACATCTCCTTCCCAAATTGTCCATTTTAGTGGACAATCCGAGCGTCAGTAAGGGAGACATTACTGCTGTCTCTTATACACATCTCCTTCCCAAATTGTCCATTTTAGTGGACAATCCGAGCGTCAGTAAGGGAGACATTACTGCTGTCTCTTATACACATCTCCTTCCCAAATTGTCCATTTTAGTGGACAATCCGAGCGTCAGTAAGGGAGACATTACTGCTGTCTCTTATACACATCTCCTTCCCAAATTGTCCATTTTAGTGGACAATCCGAGCGTCAGTAAGGGAGACATTACTGCTGTCTCTTATACACATCTCCTTCCCAAATTGTCCATTTTAGTGGACAATCCGAGCGTCAGTAAGGGAGACATTACTGCTGTCTCTTATACACATCTCCTTCCCAAATTGTCCATTTTAGTGGACAATCCGAGCGTCAGTAAGGGAGACATTACTGCTGTCTCTTATACACATCTCCTTCCCAAATTGTCCATTTTAGTGGACAATCCGAGCGTCAGTAAGGGAGACATTACTGCTGTCTCTTATACACATCTCCTTCCCAAATTGTCCATTTTAGTGGACAATCCGAGCGTCAGTAAGGGAGACATTACTGCTGTCTCTTATACACATCTAGATGTGTATAAGAGACAGCAGTAATGTCTCCCTTACTGACGCTCGGATTGTCCACTAAAATGGACAATTTGGGAAGAGGAGATACGATTATTTGAGCCTTGCGGCTCCAATATAGTGTAGAATAATCGTGTCTCCTCTTTCCAAATTGTCCATTTTCGTGCGCAATCTGAGCGTTAGTTAGGGAGACATTGCTGTATTTGGGATAGTCGAGAAATCGGGGGTTCGGATAAACGAGGTGCCGGTTCAATACCGACTAAATGTTGTATCGATCGATCCGCTGTAACCGATATCACGAATCTCCATATTTTTTTGCAACGAAATCCCTTGTTTTCGAATCGTATCTCCGGCTCGCTAAAATACAGTGGATTTACTCGTCGATACACCGAACATGCGATACAGAGTGAAAAAAATGAAAATACATCTCGGAAGGTGCGTCGTCTGTTGCACAATTAATTATATTTTTAACGTTCGCTCATGCGATGACTGCGAGTGGATATTTTGTTTCTTTCTTTTCTTTTTTTTTCTTCGTACGAACTAATATAGAAGAACAGAAATTAAAATTAATGATACCATTGCGTTGAAAGTAAATATAAGTTTCTTGTAAATTTCGGTATTTGTTTGTACGTTTGTTTCTTTGTAAAATTAGAGGTAGAATTCGCCCGTCGCGTGCGAATGAACGGGACCAATGAACGGGTCGAGAATCGCGTTATAATTATCGCGTTACTTTATGAATTTCGAATTCTCATTTGTACAAGGTGACCCCTAAAATGTCTCGCAATCCAGAAATTAGGATTCCTGAGGTGATTTGAAGTAACTTTTTCCTTTGCGAAAATGTACTACGAGGCTTCGTTTACGAGTTATTAACGAAAAACGCGGAGCAATCGGAGAGCGAGCGCGGCCGGCGCTCCGCCCTTGCGGCCAATGTCGCGTCGCGCCGGCCGTCTGACGCAGCGGCAGCGGTCGCGAGGGCGGGGCGCCAGCCACACGCCACCTCTCATTGGCCGGTGTTTTTCGCTAATAACTCGTGAACGAAGCCTCGGGTCGCATTTTCGCTAAGGAAACAGTTGCTTCAAATTGCCTCAGGAATCCCTCGCTTCCAGATGGCATTTCTAGGACACTCTGTATATTGGTCAGAGTAATCTATTAAGAGAACCGAACGCTCCAAACGGAAACGAGCGGTAACCGAGCGGATATTTCAACGAGTAAATACGACAATACTAACAATGGTTTTAATCAGTTCTTATAGTGCTACCGGAAACCGAATATCGCAAGTAACGCGAGCCGAGTTCAAGCGACAGTGCTTGTAGCGGCGTGAGAGTATCCAGTTAAGTAGATTACATTAGTTTAAGGACGCCAGTATGTATAATTCCGTTGGAGAATTCACGGAACATGCACGTTAGTTCCTTTCAGGAGGAAATAAGTCACAATAGTTAACGTGCGTGATCGATCACAGCTATGATAAAGAAACATCGGTGACCGCTGGATCGCAGATTTTATGCATTTGTAATGAATTTGTGCATTTTTTGTTCCTTTTTTCTCTTTATACTTGTGCGATATATGAAATCTTTCAATATAATCTTGCGATATATAAAAGGGTTCTCTACCTGTATACATGAATAAATTGTTATTATTAGTATTATTGCAACAAAATAAAACAGAACAAATAAGGGCAAAACAAAACTGTGCAGATGTTGGAAGAATTTAAGAATTCTGTTGCAGTATTTTTGACTCATTGAAATTTTATTAAAAGAAGAAATTAATTTCTATTTTATTTCCTATTTTATTTCTATTTATTTTATTATTATTATTGCAACAAAATAGAATTGAACAAAGCTGTGCCGATATTGGAAGAATTTAAGAATTCAGTTCAATATTTTTGACTCACTGAAATTATTAAAAGAAGAAATTAATTTCTGTTATTTCCATTTATTACAATTCACTTGAAAAATTTCTATTTTGCTAAAAAAATCCGCGGTTTGGTGATCACCGAACGAAATCGAGGAATCATCGAATTCTATCGTGGTTTCGGATTCCCGCTGACTTTAACGAGTAAGCACTTCGATTCGCAAAGAATTTTTTATCACCTTCTTACGATCACTGAAAATTCATTGTGAGCACAAGGGAAGACACGATAGCACATCTAGAAACCGACCCGTAAAGACAAGCACCGATTAAAACCAATTTTAACCGAATAATAATATAATCATTTACTTTATTGCGTAATTATATTGCAACCGAAAAGCGAACGTAACAAAAATTCACACTGTATGGCTACGCGTGAAATCGACTGCGAAGGAACAGCCGCGAACTTATTATTTCATTTGTCGAGAGCCGAGGTGAGAAACGTCGTGTCAAAAATTGCTGTACGTGGCATCATTTAGTGCTATACAATAAAATTCGAGTTACATTGTAACGTCGATGCGAGACTTCTTATTTCCCACTCACAAATAAATAGAATATAAAGATTAAATTAAATGTGCACTAAAAATTTGTAAAAAATTTGCATAATGGAACGTACATCGCCTCGTTCTTATTTATTAGGTTCTACCATTTTTTTAAATCT